CATCTGACTAACCACCTTCTTTTCTTTTTTGCCATATGTAAGCATGTCTGGTATGTGTACAGGCGTGCATGTATGTGTGGGAGCATGCATTTTATGGATGCTAGGGTTTGAAGTGTAGTGTCTTCCTCAGTTACTCCCTACCTTAAATACTGAGACAAATGATAACCTAGCTAACCTGTCTCCTACTCACCAGCTCTGGGATTAACGGCCAGCTGCCAAACCTTCCATCCTGGCTCTTATATGGGTGCTCGGGATTAGAACTCTGGTCCTCAAACTTGTATGCCAAGTGTTTGCCCACTAAGCCATTTCATCAGCCCCTTACAGATTTTATCAATTAAAACGAACTCTTAAAGATAATATTGCCATATTATTTTCAAATGAAAATATTTTTTCTCAGGCTTGTTGTTTTTGTAATGTTTTTGCTGCTCACAGCTCTTTTTAAAAGGGATAATTGGATTCTAACCATAGCTGAGTGCTCTCAGTTTGAGCTTGTTTCATGATGATTAAGTTGAAGAGTTTTGACAAAAGATCTGGAGGGGCCGGTTCAGCTAATCCTAAATTTAGATCTGGGGGAATATGTGGGCTGTATATAAAGATTATTTCCCTCATTACACTTTAAGAAAATGGGGGTGGGGTACAGAAGGGATTAAAGCTGTCTTTGCCAAAAAAAAAATTAGAATTTAGCCAATTCTCTGCAAAGGATCGCTTGCATGGTGGTGGTGGTGGTGGTGGTAAACTATGTACAAGCAAATAGAACTGTATGAGAAAGCACTGCTCTGGTCTGCAGATGTGTGCATGGCTTGCTTTTAATTATTCTTCTCCTCCTCTTCTGTTACCCTTTCCCAGTAACAATAAAAAGATTAGTTTTTATTAACCAGATTAGTTCTCCACAGAGTAGGGACAACCCTTATTCCATAGAGGTAGGTTTTCATGCAGACCCATGGGTATCTTGGAAGATGAAAGCTAGGATCCTTGCAAACTCCAGCATTTGTCATGGGTCATGCCCAGGATTACTAGGACTGCCAAGGGTAGCTACGACAGACTTCAAATAGAAGAATGCTGCCAAGCAAAGAAACTTTGAACATTATTCTGTTATTTTTATAAGGGAGGAAAAAAAAGCTCAACAAGAGAATGCCATTTGCTGATGCCTTGTGACTAAGCACAATGGATGGCTGAAAAGGGGAAAAAAATAACAACAAACGCAAATCTGGCGATCTGAGCCCCAGATTTTTGAAGAGTTAACAGGCCTGTGACCTGACTGCCTGTCCTTTTTTTGGTGTCAGCCCCCGCAGCTTTTTATCGCCAAATGGATATTCTCAAGTGAAAAAGAAGTTTCTGTAAGGTAGAAAAGGAGTTGAAGGCATGATTT